CCAGAGGCCTGGGAGCTTTGGGAGGTCGGGCGGTAGGTTCCAGAAGGTCAGGGAGCGGGAGGGCGGGGTTCCGGAAGGCCAGGCAGCTGGGGAGCAGAGGGGCGCGGANCCTCCGCCCCGCCCGGGGCCCCCGCACCCGCGCAGCCGCACGGCACGCTGTCCTCACGCGCTTGCTGGCCTGCACCCTGGTCTCCTTGGCTACAGGCTCCTGGTCCTGCGCAAAATGATGCTGCTCTGTGCCTTGCTGCTGGTCCTGAGGTCTGCGCTCGTGGCGCAGGCGGCGTGTAAGTATCTGCTCTTCCTGGGTCTGGAGGGGTGAGGCTGCACCCAGTGAGCAGGTGTCTTTGGAAGGGTTGGCATGGACTTCCCAACACCTTGCCGGCCGACAGCGCCGCTGTCAGGGCAGTAGTTAGGCACAGGGGGGATCTGGAGAGTGTCCCCGAGCAAGGAGAGCAGCAGGAGGGAGAAAGCCTTCCTCCAGAGCAGCCGGCGGGGGGCGGGGGGCTGCTGGGCGGTCCAGCTGCAGGCAGGCCAGAGCGGCTGAGTCCCAGGAAAGCTGGGAGGGTGCTGGCCTCCTAGGACTGTCAGGCCGTCTTGGACACGTGGGCCGCATCCTCAGAGCATAGGGCTTTGGCCGCCTTGGGGCGTTCCCTAGAGCCTGTCTCTGGGAACAGGTAAAGCTCCTGGTGTACTTGGCTTCTGCCCAGGGATCTAGTTGTGGTGGGACTCGGAGCCCAGGAGCCCTGAGCCCTGTGAGCCTCAGGACATCCTCAGAGGCCCAGGGAAGGGGGCAGTGGGCTGGTACCAGGGTGGAAAGTGCCTGTGTGAGCAGGAGCCCCGTGCTGCTTTCCTTTCTCTCAGGGACCTATAGTCTGAAATGCTACCACTGTTCGATCATAAACTCCTTTGAGTGTAGACGAGTTACGATATGCGACTATGAAGTTAGGCGCTGTTTGACAGTCTCGATTCGTAAGTACCTGCTTGTCTTTCCTACACCTTGTGAATTAGTCACCTGCCTGAGCACTTTCAGGGGACAGAGCCAGTCTGTTTTTTCTCTGCATTCAGTTGATGGCCCCGGCCTGCTCTGTCCCCATCCTGAGAGCATGTTGTCAGGCTCTAGGCTCAGCCCAGGACAGAGCAGTGTGAGCCGCCCTGCAGACACGTGCCCTGTGAGGTGTGGGGGCAGAGGACACAACTCCATGGGTCCCCAGCGGCTGGGAGTGCAACCGACCCTCAAGGCCTCCACCCTGCTTAGTCCCTGGCCATGCAAGCAGATGTCCCAGAGCGGCCAGGAGGTTCCTGGTGACCAACTGATTCTGGTTTCTGCAAGGGCTTCTAGCTAAGCAGGCCTAAGGAGTGGCTGCACCATGGACTCCTCGGAACAATGTCTACCACACAGTAGGCCAAGCTTGGGGTCAGGGCAGAGCCTGACTTCCAAGATGCTTTTGGCTCCTACTCAGAGGCACTCATGCTCTGAGAAAGGAGTCCCTCTCCCCAGGGCCCTAACCAGAAGAACATGCACAGCCAGCGACCAGCAAGTATTTCACTAACCCTGCAGGGAGGCTGGTCTGGGGCCTGCTCAGGGCCTATCTGCGAGCCCGTTCTCCTCAGCATCTGTGAGCTCATTGTCCCTGTGCATGCCAGCCCGTGTGCAGAACAACTCTCTGGTTGCCACCTCTCCCTTTTACCAACTGCCATCACCCTGTGGGCATCTGCCAATGTGGGACGCGGGCAGGAGCTGAGGGCATGTGCTCTGTTCCTACAGTGGGCACCTTTTTTTGTGCATGCTCAGCCTGTCAACATCCAGTGTGTGGCTCGACGAGCCCCGTGGTTCTTATTATGATCGCAAGACACCCTTTAGCAGTAACTGTGAGGAGACTTGAACAATGAGGCTTATTACTTACAAGTCCTGGAACTTCCAGGGCAGGTGGGGGCACACAGCGAGGGCGAGGTCGTGGGTAGGTAGAGAGCTTGCAAGCACGGGCCTGGGGTTCTGCTTTTATTGCGGTTGGGGGGAGGCTAAGGTTTCTAGGACTCATTCCCTTTTTTTCTTTTTTTAATGTCTTTATTGATTTGAGAGAGAAAGGGAGAGGGAGAGAGACAGAAACATCAATGAGAGTCCTCATTGATCGGCTGCTTCCTGCACGCCCCCCCACTGGGCATCGAGCGCACAACCAGGGCCTGTGTGTCCTGACCGGGAATCGAACCTCCATCTCCTGCTCGTAGGTCGATGCTCAACCTCTGAGCCACGCCGGCTGGGCTCTAGGACTCATTCTTTATTGGTGAACTTAAAATATAATACTGGAGCCTTGGCCGGTATGGCTCAGTTGGTTGGAGTGTCACCCCTATGCACTGAAAGGTCGAGGATTGGATTCCTTTGTCAAGGTACATACCCAGGTTGCAGGTCCCCTCCCTGGTCGAGGTGAGTATGGGAGGCAACCATCCAATCGATGTTTCTCTCTCTGTCTTTCTCTCTTCCTCTGTCTTTAAAATCAATAAACATATCCTTGGGTGAGGATTAAAGAAAGTGAGCAGGACCTTTCATTAGTGCAGCGACGTGACAAGGTCCCATACACTATTTGAGGCGGGCCTGAGCAGAGATCTGGTGGTGCAGAGAGAACATCTCCAGGACAAGTTGCTCATGGGGTAACCCGACCCTCCGGTGGACTTGGATATTCTCCCTCAGTCAAGAGTTCAAGCAACGGCCCTGGCTGCTGTAGCTGAGTTGGTTGGGCATGGTCCCATGCACCGAGAGGCTGCCAGTTTGATTCCCGGTCAGGGCACTTGCCCGGGTTGTGGGCATGCAAGAGGCAGCCAATGGATGTTTCTCTCTCTCTTTCCCCCTCTCCCTTCCTCTCTCTCTAGCAATGTAGTAACATTTGAGGATGTAGGATGTGGGCATGGAGCTAGTTCCTTTGAATGGGAATGTGCTCTGGTATTTACAAGCAGAAAATGTGAAATCAGTGATTTTCATCTCTTTATTAGGTGTGAGCCCTCGTGAACTACACGTTTACAAGAACTGTACAGACAACTGCACGTTTGTCTATGAGGCCCAAATGCCTCCACGAGCCCCTTATCACCTCCTGAGGACAAATAGTTTCTATTTTGTTCTTTGCTGTAATGGTAATCACTGCAATCAAGGAGGACCCAACAATGTGGAGCGGGACATCTTACCTGATGAAGCGATCGAGGAGGCGATAGATAGGGCATTGCGCCTGGGGGTCTCGGGATTCTTCCTGAGCTTTGCCTGCATCCTGGTCAGCAGGACACTGACTTGAGAAGCCCTCATCTCAGTGACGAGGACCCTGTCACCTCCCCCATTCCTCAAAGTTCTTTGCTGTCTTGTGAACCAGAGACCCTGACCCACAGGCCCCCGCTGGCAAGTTACCCATTTTCAGCTTATTTCAGAGAGCAATAAAGCACAGTATTGTTTGAGTGCTGCAAAGTCAGGGCTTTTTCTTTGTGTGTTTTTTCGTATTTGATAAGCTTTTTTCTCTTTAACATCACCTCACACAGACCAAACACACTTTTTTTTCTTCAATCAAAAGCAGATCAGCTATAGGCGACAGTGTACTTCAGCTGGAAGAGGGGTTCCAGCTGTAGGCAGACCTCAGGGCCCTGGGGCGACCTCGGACCATCCTGGCAGCTCCTGGGCTGGGGTGTGGGAGCAGAGCCTGTGGTTGGCGATGAGGGAGCACTGCCACTGGTGACTGTCCAGCGTCCCTGTGTGGGTCAGACAGGCTCTGCAGGAATTGGGTCGTCTTCACTCAGTGATAGCATGTGCCCCCAGAACTGACAGCTGAGCAGGGTGTGGGACCCCAAAGCCAGCTGCGATGGCCCCAAAATGGCAGGGAGAGTTCAGGCTGCTGCTGTCTTTCACTGCACTTGGCCTGTCAGAAAAATGGCATGGAGGGACAGAAAGTCAGGACCTTCTTTTGCTATCTCCCTCCCCTCTATTTTCTTTAAATCAATACCTGATTTTAAATTACTGAGACAAAATTCACATAACATAAAAATCATCATCTAAAAGGGTGTGATTCAGTGTGTTTTAGTATGTTCACAATGTAGTGCAGCCACCACCACCTTCTAATGCCAGAACATTTTCACCCCAAAAAGAAGTGCTGTATCAAATAAGCAGCCACCCCCCACCGCCCACCGGTGCTCCCCAGCCTGGGCACTGCTGATATGCTGTCTGTGGAGCTGCTTGTGCGGGGGCGCTCTGGGCAGTTCTCAGGAGCTATGTGGGGTTGGGGGCGGGGAACGATGAGACAGAAGAGAGAGGAAGCACCATTCCCAGCAGGACAATTGGAAAGGACTCCTATGTAGACATAGATGTAGACGTCCCGGAGTAAACCTGAAGGACAGGAAACCAAGAGGCATCCAGATTGAGTAGGGCTCACACGCGGGGAGTGGGGCGGGGGGCAGGTATGAGGCCCTTGTGCAGCCTTCCAGGGTCAATGCAGGGTCGGGAGGAGGCAGAGTGAATTGGGTGTGAAGGACCCTCAGCATGGGGGTAGTGGGACATCAGCCTAGGGCACCCTGTTCTGATGATAGAGACCCTGTGGCTGCTCTTCCTCAGCAATTCCTCCCAGTTTCCAGGAGACAGAAGAGAAGGAATTCTATCGAATGAACTTGGACTTCACCCACCAATGGCATAGGTGCGCGGGGTCACAAATTCTCCCACTGCCTTTGTCCTTCATCTGAACCTTGGGCCAGGTGGGCAGCAGAAGGTTCTCAGCATTCTGGGCAAGGTGGGTTGCTCCTGGAATTAGGATTTGGAGTTTGGGGGGTCCTCTCCTCTCCAAGACCTTGCGTGGCTCCCAGGCCCTATGACCACAGCATGGCATGGCCCGGGGGCTGTACTTTTCCAACCCTGTGCGTGGGGGACTTGGCAGGTGAGGCTGCGGCCACCCTAGAGCTGGAGCGAGCAGGTGACAGCTTAGATTCTCTGGCCCTGAGGAGCTCCGAGGACTTGGGCACCCCACGGGCAGCAGCAGACGCCCCGGAGGGGCATCTCTGGTAGAGTCTGACGTGGACAATGGAAGTGGTGGTGTTGCTGTTAGAACTGCCTTTAGCGTAGCCGCTGGTTGAAGGATGGGTCTTGCTATGGTGGCGAACTGCTTTTCCCACAGGAAGCAGAGCAGAGCAAACCAGAGGCACAGGGGAAATAGCCCAGCGGCTGTCTGGCTCGTCCTGGTGTCCTACGGGGGCTGAGTGGCTATGCTTAAAAGGAGTGTGGAGCTGTAGCTGGTTTGGCTCAGTGGTTAGAATGTTGGCTTGGGGACTGAATGGTCCTGGGTTCGATTCCTGCCAAGGGCACCTATCTCGGTTGCAGGCTCAATCCCTGGCCCCAACCAGGGTACGTGTGGGAGGCAACCAATTGGTGTTTCTCTCTTACTCTCTCCCTTCCACTCTTTCTGAAAGCAATGGGAAAAATATTCTCTTTTGGGG